ATCCCTCTTCCACCCTTTTTTGTAGCCATCATGGTCACTCTTCTTGCCATAGTCATCATGGTCTTTTCCATAGTCGTCACCCCTCTTCCACCCTTTTTTGTATCCATCATGATCACTCTTCTTGCCATAGTCATCATGGTCCTTTCCGTAGTCGTCACCTCTCTTCCACTCCTTTTTAAAGCAATATTTATGGCCGAAGCCATCGTCCTTCCACTCCCAATCCTTGCCTTTCCTATCGCAATCCTTCTTGCCGTCATAGTAACTCGTGGGGTTAGCGATGACGCCAACGGTACTCAAGGCCAGCATAGCCACAAGCGCTTTGAAGTGCATCTTGGCGGTTCAATGAATTGAAAGAAACTGGTATTGGAAGATATCTTTATGTTGAAGACGAATTAGACGTGGAATGTAAAATTCGGAGAGATCAGATCAGGGGGGGCCGAAACGATGAAAAGAAGAACTTCTGAATGGCGAAAATAAAGCAAAGACGAAGAAACCCGAACAAATATATAATCAAAATAGATAAAGCTCAATGTATCATGCCTCTTAACACCGATAAGGAGAATAGGGTTTGGAACTCCGTCTCGTTGACCACACCGCGAGTGGATGCTGTTATTCATAGTAAGAACATGCTGAGACACTGAGACTTATCCAGTAGGATTCAATCGGAGTATGGAATTCAAGCATCCCAGCAGGACTCTGTATGCAGCTCTACTGGACCTCAATAATATCGGCGCTAGGCCAAGCCGTTGGGGACAAAATCGAGAGAAACTCCCGAGAGAACGATATGGAGCTAAAGGCCCTGGAATACTGGAAGCAGCATTCCATGACTAAGAACAACCGCACGGGTTCCCAACGTCCTTTCAAACATCGGCCTCAACATCCAACGTCCAGAATGTCCGACAACGCCACCAAGTTATTTCGGATAGTCAAGTCCGAAAAGGTCCGATATTATCACTTACTGGTTGCGAGCAGGAAAAGGAGTCACGATCTTCAGGGTTTAATGGTTGATGTCCATGTAGAAATCCTAGGTGTCTAAAAAGGAGCCCAGACGTCATGCTCCGTCGACCGCTGTGTAGCAGCGTCTCTGTAGCTTCCAGCGAACCCCACTTCTGGGGTTTTCCGTTCCTTCGCTGCGGCGGTGGAAATGCTGTCCAGTTCCGTGGGTTCTGGGGTTGAGGAAGGCCGGCGATATTGATGATGGCCTTTGAGAAGCAGCTATGAATTCTGTCAATAGACCGCTGTGGCATTGCTCACTTATTTTGGCCCATTAATCTTAGTAGGCATTAAATGCGCTTGTGATCCTAGAGCGGTTAGGCTTAACATACGGTTTTGTCAATGCATGCGTCAATGGAAAGAAACTCTGTGCCCCGCTGAGTTTATTGTCTTTTCTGGGGTAGGCTGGTTCGTTCGAGATAAATATAGGAACAGGGATCCTGGGCGAATTTCGGAAAATTGTGTCACCGGTTGAGTGAGCTGAAGTTTCTTTGCCCAGTTTCCTTGTTGACCGCCACACACACACACACACGGCCTACGGAGATCTCTCGAAAAGCTTTAGGGCACACCGATGCATTGTCTCTAAATTAAAATACGTGTCGGAGAACGTAAAAATACTACACGAATAAGAAGATGGCGATCATCGGGAGCGGCGCAACAGCCATCACCCTGCTCCCCAATCTTGCAGACAAGGCAGCTCATGTTACGATTCTCCAACGCAGCCCCAGCTACATTATCTCAATCCACAACCGCGGCAAGGCAGCATGGATTGAAAAGTACTTCCCGACTTGGATGGCCTATCGACTCAATCGTTTCAAATTCCTCCTGACGGGGTTCCTCTTCTACAACTATTGTCGAAAATTTCCTTCCGCGGCTAAACGCAAGCTCCGGTCGGCCACGGAGAAGCTGTTGCCAGAGTCTGTGCCCTTAAGCCCGCACTTCGAGCCCAGGTACAACCCATGGGAGCAGCGGCTGTGTCTGTGTCCAGATGGCGACTTTTTCCGGTGCCTGCGTGAAAACAAGGCCAGTGTCGCGACAGGAAAAATCAGCGCCGTCAAAGAGGACGGCATCCTCCTCGAATCCGGTGAGATGCTCGAAGCAGATACCATCGTCACTGCTGACCTTGCTCGGCCGCCTTCCGGAATTCTATCTGTACTTTGCGTGACCATCATACAGGTACCTTATACATTGAGGAATTGCCTCGCATTGAATATATGATCAATCACATGACCATTCACATAGGGCAATATGGTAATCACATGCCAATCAATGCGTACTAGGCATTTTGGCATTCCTTCTCAAGTGGGATAGTCGATAGCCGGCCGGCCGGAACAGCGATTACTATACTTTGCTGGCCTCTGCCCACCTCGCTGGTCCATTCGGTATAGATGTGGCCGGTCATGGGTTTAGGCCGACCAACGCGGCCATCACTTGCTCATGTCCCATTGATTCGGTATCAGTGGGTGATTCTGGCCGGAGTCAACTCTCTTGCGATGCTCAGAGCAACTTGGCTGTGTCCCGGCCGACAGTGGCTCGGAGATGTGGTGGTTCTCGCATCCGATTCTGACTAACATTCGACCATTCAGGTTTGCCTCGGGGTCAACGCCAGTCCCAACTCCGATATCCGCCAGGGTGCTAATTGCGCTACAACGTACGCATTGCGAAAAGACGACCCCCTAATCTAGGAGAGCTGCAAATCCTTCTTTTATATTGGACGGCATCAGGATCGGCATCGGCACCAGCAACAGAGTCAGAACCGTCAAACGTAGGCCCTTGTATCTGTGCACATATTGACATCCATCGTCCATCGTTTAGGTCATCCTTTTGCTACGGATATCAGCCTTTACGCCACAACGGTCCACTTCAAGTTGTTGTGCCATGGACAAACTGCCGACACTGGGAAGAATTATCGGTCAGGTGGTTGGACCTACTTACGCTGTCTACGTACCGCTGATTGCCAAAAACGCTTCAAAGATCGAACTGACAAAACGAGAGACGTTCAAGTACGGGGCACACCCTCGTCAAGAACTCGACATCTATCAGCCGTCAGCAACAACCAATCCAGCACACGATACCAGTCCTAGGCCTCTGCTGGTCTTCCTTCACGGTGGTGGGTTCGCCAACGGAGATAAAGTCAACGAAGCCCAACCGCTGTTCTACAAGAACTTGGGCCACTTTTTCGCCGACAGAGCCGGGTTGGAGACCATCTGCATGAACTACAGACTGATCCAACACGGCGCGAAATTCCCCAGCGGCGCCGAAGATCTCGAGACCGCGCTCAAATGGATCGCGGAGAGGTACCAAGACCAGCAACGAGACGTCTATCTCTTTGGAAACTCGGCCGGAGGGATCCACGTGGTCCATTGGCTCCTTGAGCCTGCCTTCCACGACTTCAGGCGAAAGATTATCGCTGGTTGTGGAGGAGTGAAATTGTCGGGCGCCCTTGTGGTGGGAGCATTATTCAATTTCAAATTTTCGTCTCCGGTTCTGCGGCAGAATCTGGCAGCGTACCTGGGGGATTATTTGGACAGCGCTGCGCCGGTCGAGTCGCTCACACGATGCGCAGAGACGGGAGAATTCTCTTCTGGGCCCTGGCCGCGCTTGTTGATCGGCGATTGCGCACTGGATCCGGAGGACATCCTCAAGGCCACTCCAGAATTCATCGAGAGACTGCGGGCCGCGGGGAGCCTCGAGGTTGATTATCTGAACATCAAGGGACATAACCATATCAGTCCGCCTTTGGCACTGGGATCGGACATTGCGGCAGAGGAGGAATGGGGTCATGAATTCGTATCTTGGATTAGGAAGTGATGCTGTTGCCTTGAAAAAAGCCTAGCATGGGATTCTATCAAGGAGTGAGTTACCGCCTATCATTTTGTGTTCCTCAGCCGTCACAAATTCTACCTCTCGTACGAGCTCCTCGCATCAGGTAGTCAGGCCCGAATTAGATCTCCTCGTTCCAATGGCGTACAAGTCGTTTGAACTCCATCAAGAACTCGAAATTCCTACCAAATTTCCTCCACCTGCCAACTGGCGTTCGTGGCCGTGTATCTTGTTCACTGACGACCGGCCCTTGCTACCTCGGGCGTGGTTTGGCAGACACCCAAAGCTCGAGTGGAAGCGAAACTATGGACGTGTAGTATTCCATTGGCTTCTCCGGCTGTAGTAAGCTCATCTGTGACAAACATTAGCCGTACTCGACACACTTAGATCATTTCATATATAGGCCACGCCGAGGCTTACGTCGTAATTCAGCAACAATTCCGGTATCACTTTCTTCATTTCTATCCAGGCAATGTGTTGGCCAATGCACATTCGTTTTCCGTGGCCGAAGCCGTAGAACGCTCGTTCCATTCTCGCCCTTTGAGCGGGGTCGGCTTCCGTCCATCGTTCCGGCCGGAACTCTTCAGGCTTCGATCCCCAGACATCTTCGCGAAATCTGAGGGCGGAAAAATTCAAGGCGACAGATGTTCCGCCGGGGAGGTAGACGCCCGCAATGTGCGCACCGCCTGGAGGAACTTCTCGCTCCAATGGAGCCTGATTGACCGGGTTCAGCCTCATGGTCTCTTTGATGACCACTTCAAGATATGGAAGTCTATTCACCGACTCGAGTGTCGGAGGAGAGGCGAGTCCGGCTGCTTTCAACTCTTCTCGCAGCGTGGCCAGACACGGTGGATTTTTCAACAGGAGCCAGAGCACCTCCACCATGGTGGATGCTGTGGTCTCGGCACCGGCATTGATTGTTGACATGACCAACCCCACGACGGTGCCTCTCTCGATAAGTTCAGGGGACTTTGCGTGGCTTTCAAGGTACCATTGCAGAAGATCGGACTTCCCTTCGGAGTCACCCTTGGAATTTCGCTCATTGATCCTTTTCAAAGCTTGTTGACCAAGGAGGCTGGTGCCTCTTCTGCCTCGAACAAAAGCATTTTTGTAGACTAGCCTCTCGAGGCCGGGACTGGCATACCATCGGAACCAATGACCAAAGCGCTCTCTGGCGCCGGTGAGTATGGTTTCAACTTCTTGTTCGGTCAGATCGACATCGCTGAAGGCTATTCGGCAGATTGTTTCGAAAGCAAAGAGCTTGATCCACCGGACGAGGTCGACGTTAGGCGTCTGAGACCGAAGACGTGAACTGAGGAGATTGATGGCTTCGCTCACATGTGCCTCATAGACCCTGATCGCCCGGGGAGTAAATGCAGCGTTGATGTGTCTCTTGATTGCCGAAACTTGCGCCTCGTTCCGCGTGGTGGTGAGAGAATCTTGAAGTACCCCATTGACCACTGGAATTGCAGGCTCGTAAGATACCGCCTAGGTAGGACAGGTCAACACAAGGCGATCCATGATTTCATTTCGAGAGGCAAACCTTCTTCCAAATATTGTGCGTACCGTAGATCACAGGAATGACCGAGGGATCACTGAACAGCACATTGTTTGGCGCCCATCGGACAATGGGCCCATATTCTCTGTCGAGTCGGCAGCAGAGATCAAGAAAATTCTCAGACCGGCGGTTGAATTTCCAAGTGATCCAGAAACTGCTGAACTTGCTCACAAAGGGCCCGGGAATATGTCGGAGGCGGTAGAAGTTCTGAACAGTCGAAAACAACGCCCATGCAAATAGAGCAAGCCCAAGGATCAACAATCCAAACACCGGGGAGGAGCCGGTGAAGCGCGAGAAGGAAGCTTCCATCATCTCGCCTTGCACCGACCTTCTTCTTCTTCTTATTGCTGTTGTTATTGTTAAAGTATCTTTGTAATTCTGTGATCAACACCTGGGTAGCTGTGAGTCGTTTGTCTACCACTTATTCTACCCCTTGGATAGAATCACGACGTCCCCGGCTTTTCACAAACGCGGGAGCTCACTAGGCCTCACTGCTCTCCAACTAGTATCATGCCCCAGTCCCTACTCCAACTTTCGACAAGGTTTCAGCATTGATAGCTTTGCGGCATAAAGCATCCACGGAGCGTCGGGTGGTTGTGAGCAGCCACCACATCTCCGAGATCAGCTTCTGGGGCCGGCTCCCTCTTTGATGTACCTCAGGTACCTGGTACGGGACCACCAAAGGGAAAACGGCAAAACACCGCATCGCACATTCCAGCCTATCCATGGCCTGATTGTTGGACTTAACCTTACCGAGATTTCGAGAATTGGCCCTGGCTTTAAGTCGCATGTCGACCCCCCTGGTGTTGATAAACCGGATTCACGAATGGATCTACATTTTCCTCTTCCTTTCGCACCGTTCCATCCACATTCGCTGTCATCCCAGCAACAGTCACAATGGCTATCTCTCCGGCCGTTCCTGTGCCGCCGAAGAAGTCCATTCTGGAGCGGCTGCCCGGCAAACTCCCAACTACGTCAATCCCTGCGAACGTGGATGCGGAGCTCGTGGCGAAATCTATGGTGGACAGGTTTCCTGCGCTGACCAGAGATTGCTTCACGGACGATGCTTTGTGGCGAGACAGCTATGCAATGACCGGCACGTTCCGAACGTTCTACTTCAATGCCACTGTCGCACAACAGTGGTTGTTATTGCGTGAGCAACGACCGATCACGTCAAGGGAATACGTCCCTGGATCCAGCAAAATCATTCCATTTGGTCCAGAATCGGCGTATCTGGAATGCCAGCTAAGGTTCACCACTGCGAACCCAGTCACAGAATGCTCAGCCTTTTTCTCCATGGTACCGTCTCCTACGATGGATGGCGGTTGGAAGATCTGGATCTTGAGGACGGTGCTCGAACAACTGCCTGGTCACGGAAACGTTGATGTCCTTGAGCCCCGAACTCCATTGCTCGCAGACAATGGGGCCTCGTCTGAACTACTTAGTGATCGAGGTCCCAATGGAAGCTCAACCGTCGTCAACCGCAACGGCTCCAACGGACACGCGACGGGACCAGAAGATGTTTATATCAATGGCCACACTTCTCAGCAGACCAACGGCGCTACAATCGAGCATGTGGAAGCCATCAATGACACGCCTGAACAACAAAGTATCCAGCACTTTCAAGTTGTCGTCATCGGTGGCGGTCAAGCCGGTCTCAGCACCGGGGGACGGTTGCAAGCACTCGGTGTCCCGTACGTTGTCATCGAGAAGAATGAGCAAGTCGGGGATGCGTGGCGGCTGAGGTACGAATCTGCGAGACGTAAGTTCGCATCTTAGGATGGCTACACACCTTGACAAAATCGACCTGTGGATCCTAACTTTCTGGCTTCGCAGTTCACACAGTCCGCGAATACTGTTGGTCCTCCAGCCCGACTGATAGCATGCAATTGAGGCTGACGTACATCACAGCACACTTACCCTTTGACCGTACGTTTGGCCCTTCTTATCCGGAATATCTCGGCAAGGAGGATCTAGCGAAAGGCCACCGGGAATGGGCGCGGAAGTTTGGCATAGTAAGTCGGCCTTGTGTGGAGCTTCAACTCTGCGACAAGGTAAAGTGACTAATTGACCCTGGGCTCGATAGAATATCTGGCTCTCATCAACTGTCACGTCAGGTGATTGGGATCAAGAAACCGGTCTCTACACCTTGACTGTCCGCCGGAAAGGCACTGCTACTCCCACGATCATCACGGCAAAACACGTTGTAATCGCCACAGGGGCAGGCTCACAAACCCCAATAATGCCGCTTCTCGCGAACAGGGTAAGGCGGACACCAAATTCCCGACGTTTGCAAAAATGAAAAACAAAAAAAAAGAAAATCCACGATCTAAGGGTTTTTGCACAGGACAAATTCCGAGGACAGGTGTTGCATTCTGCAGATTATAAATCGGCTGAACAATGGAGACACAAGGCCGGTATTGTCTTGGGCACAGCAAACACCGGTGAGCTCGAGAAATCGTTTCCCTCCTCCTGCAGCCACCAGAATGACTAATCAATGGAGTTTTCAGCCCACGATGTAGCCGACGACATGTACGAAGCAGGCATGTCCGTGACCATGGTACAGAGAAGCCGGACTTGTGAGTGTTGGGGCTCATTGCCCCTCGTCATGATTGAGAGAAAAACACAAGAGAAACTTCACACTAATAAAGTGCTCGTTACGCGCAGTCGTGCTACCACTGGAGTACATCCAAGATAGATACCAAAGTAAGGATTCTGTTCTGGCGCAGCATGACACCGGACCCGAAGCCGCCCACGCTTGACGAGGTGGCCAGCAACTGACATTGTGGTGTTCAGAGCTGTACAACAGCAAGCTGTCCACCGAGACCAGCGATCGCATCATGTTCACGAACCCCGTGTCGATTGCTCGCCTGACTTCGGCCAATGCATTTCACGCGATGGCTCGAGCTCAGCCCGAAAGATGGGAAGCCCTGGAACGCGCCGGTTTCAAGGTCGACCCGTACGGTGACATCCAGGACGCGATCAACGTCCGCTTGGGTGGACATTATATCGACGTAGGCACATCGGCGAAAATCGCCAAAGGATGGGTGGGTCACGTCCCGATCAGCCTTTTTTGGACTTCTCGCTGTCGACGGATCATAGAAACTGACGGAGTCAATTCTACAACTCAGATCAAAGTCAAATCAGACGCACTAGCCGTGTCGTTTTATGAAGACGGCCTCGAATTTGCGGACGGCACTCGAATAAAAGCCGACGTCGTCGTCTTCGCCACGGGGTTTGTCGGCAATCTACGCAACCATGTCGAGCAGATCTTCGGCAAAGAAGTCGGGGATCGGGCAGGTGATTGCTTCGGTCTCAACGAGGAAGGAGAAATCCTGGGAGCTTTCAAGCCAGTGCAGCGTAAGTTTACTCTGTCTTGCCTCATTTGCCGGCCAATCTGCAACCGCTCTGCTCAGCCCAAGGGGGCGGCACAGTCAATCTCAATCCAGCGGGCCAGGCGCTAACAACACCTCTCTTCTTGATCCCAGAACCCGGTCTTTGGTACATCGGAGGCGCACTCGGGCATGCGAGATGGTACTCTAGGTTTTTGGCCCTTTCCATCAAGGCCGACCAGCTGGGCACGCCGTTGCCCGTGTATGAGGACTGCAAGCATAGATTGGTGGATGAATGGTGCGAGGTGTAATATATCCCGGCTGCCATGATCGATAGAGGAAGGATGAAGGGCAATAGCTAGAAAGTGTAGAGTTTGTGGCATTCCAGCATCGACATCGGCACACACTCTCGGCGACGTTTGGTACTGATACTCAACCTTTTTGACTGCTTCACGCCAAACGTTCAAATTGGTAACTGTGACCGCAAATCCGTCGAGCCTAGTGGTGTCTTTAGTCTGCGCGCCACTAGTACCGACCTCACGATGAGGATGCTCGTTTGTGCGCGCCCAAGCCTTTTTGCGATACAAAGCGACAAGGTTTCTCCAGCTCGTGGCACGTCCGCAGAGCCCAGCGCCCGCAATATGCAATGTCATTTGTCGATGTATGAAGGTTCGGAAAACTCCCACTGCCGCATGCACACCCGATGACCAATCGGTCGGAATGTTTGTGGTTGTGTGTGGCTTTCTTGTTTTCTTTCTTTCGGAGCATCAGTGGTTCTGGTCATCTACCTCGTCCTCCTTCGTTCCTCGGCTTAGTATGCTGCCCCAAGGAAACCCTACCAGCGCCAGCTCATCCTGATTCGACCTTGGGGATTCTTGTTTACGTTTACACTCGTACCGAGAACATGAACCAGTCCGCCACGAGGGAAACGCTCCGGTTAGTAAGCTCCTCCAGCCAAGGAAGGAGCACCGCCTGCTACTATAGAGGGAGTTATAGGGGCCGGCTTCTAGAAAGAAATCCAGCGCGACCAAGTCTGGTGATCAACTCGAAGGGGCCATTCAACGACCTGGCAAAAGAAAAGACTTTGATCGACGGACGTCAGGTCTGATCAGAAGCGGAGCGGAGCAAGCAAACAATGGCGATGTCTAGACACACCAAGGTTCTTCGCCAAACGGCGCCAGGCACAGCCGTCATGGAACAAGTGCCCATTCCAGTGCCAGGCAAAGATGAAGTTCTCGTCAAGGTCTACGCGGTGGCCTTGAATCCCTACGATTGGAAAATGCTCTACGGTCGCGTACCCGCGGTGCCGACAGTCTTGGGCTGCGACTTCGCAGGCTTTGTCGAGACAGTTGGAGAGAGCGTCACGAGAGTGCAACCGGACGAGCGTGTTGCGGGAATGGTGCAAGGAGGAAACATTCTGAGACCTGACGACGGTGCATTTGCCGAGTACATCATCGCACCAGCACATGTGCTGCTCCATCTGCCAGAATCTACATCGTTCGAGAATGGTGCAACCATACCGACACCAGCGTTCACGGCGGGGTTTTGTCTCGAGCATCTCATGGGGATGTCAGTGCCTGTGGATGAACCAGTGTCGACAGTGAATGGACAAGCTGCGATCAAGGAGGCTGCACGCGAGGAATCGATGCTGCTTGTCTATGGAGGGGCATCGTCAACAGGATTGATGCAGGTCCAGATGGGAAAGTTGTACGTCATGAGAGTAGCCCTCGACTGTAGTACGTTCCTGGGCATGTCACTAACTTCTCGTCCGACAGAGCCGGGATGAAAGTGCTGGCTGTCTGCTCGAAGGAGAGCTTCGACCTCGTGCGAAGCTACGGCGCTGATGTTGTCTTCGACTACGTGAGTACAATTTCCCCTCCAGGACCCGAGTCGAATCGGCGCCTGAATCTCTCTCGGCAAGAATCACTCACATGTATCTCGTACTCGGTTCACAGCGTGACGCAGGCTGCGAGCAATCCCTACAGGACTTCACAAGAGGCCTCGTGAGGTACACTGTCGATTGTATCTCCGATGTCCAGTCTGCAGCCATATGTTCGAGAGCCATGGGCGCAGAACCAGGAACCTACATCAGCTTTACCGCAAACGGGCCCGAGATTCGACACCCGAATGTCAAGTCTGTCAAAATCGTCTCGTTCACGGTCTTGGGACGGACATTCTCCTTCGGCGCTAAGGGCCCGACATTCCCAGTCATTGAGGACGATGCTACATTCGGTGGGAAATTCGCCGAAAAGCTTGAACTGCTGCTGAGAGATGGAAAGCTCAAGCCTCTTCGTTCAGAAGAGCGAGAAGGGGGATTGACTGGCATTGTGCCAGGCTTAGAAGAGCTGAAAGCTGGACGAGTTCGCGGACAGAGATTGGTTTATGCCGTTCGATGAGAGTCGTCCGCGAAAAGACCGGGATGTCCTGATCATGCAAGCTTCATCCACGTCGCGTCTGCAGGGTGGTCCGGTTGCTGATGATGAGCTGTTTACTCATATGCTGATTCTGCATTGAGTAGTTGCCGTAGAACATTGACAAAAGCCGTGGACAGGTCCCAGCTTCGCATGTTTTGAAGAATTCGTATAGTTTCTGCCAGCGCTTGAATCCGGCTTGACCGACTGCCAAGCACAGGGACTCCATAGATGCCGACCACAGCGTTATTCCCTCCTTCTTGAATCCATTTCAGTATTCTCAGGTGATCGACATCTCCAGCTGTGGCATGGCGGTCTAGAAATATCGGCCGCTGACTGTCGTGAAGCACTTCGTCTTCCTGTGGCTCGGCTAGCAATGACGCTACGCACCAGAGTGCGGCGCCTGCGTAAAACACATGAAATGGTTCGTATGGGCCGTTGAATGGGAAGTCTCGACTGATCGTCATGACTTGAGCACTATGATATGCCACTTTCCGCAGCCTGACAGGGTCTTCTTCGCCCCAAACCTTCATCCGCTCCTTGGCTGCTTTGTTTAACCCTGAGGTCCGTAGCAGGGCGGGAAGCCAGTCCATGAGATCGTTTGCGCCGTAAAGGTGACATATATGAATGATTGACGTACGTTCAACTTGCCGAGCCAGCTCTTTGTCATCGCTCATACCTCGAAGGGTGCTCAGTGGCACCGAGTAGTGGTCTAATGCGTGCAGGAGATTGATTTTATGTGCCACAAGAGGCCATTGTTCGGGCACGACATCCATGAGAGGGGAAGCTTGGAGCTCCTTGATTGACCAGAGGAATCGAGCCAGCGTGATTACAATCAAATGAAGATGTTGAGGATCCTGGAGCTCGATGGTGACGGCAAGCTTTGTGTCAAAGCAGCTACGCGCAGCTATGCGAAAATTGATTGCATCATCCAAGGTCGACCGCTGCGGGACAAGGGCCATCCAGGCATGGGCGGAGGTAGCCTCCCAGCGAGCTGCATCTTCAGGCAGGCTCAGGAGGATATCACCCACACTCATCGTTGGCCGTCGATTGTGAAGGAATGAAACGGAAGCGTCGAATTCCTGTTCATCACTTTAGCCTTGACCACTGTGCGGGTAATGGGCCACGGGGACGCACATATATTGCCCAGCCAAGTCGTTTTCGTCGCTCGGCATTGATCCATGCAGCCCATTGAGCCTGTGTATTGTTTTCGATGGGCCGCGTTGCCCTGTGTGGGGAGAAGAGCCCGAAATTCCTGCCGTGTCGGACTAGAGAACTTCGTAGCGACTCACTATAGTTGAAGAGGGTTTTATCACCACTGCAATAGCCGTACATCCCCAGCAATAGCTGCGCTGTCAGATATGGTTCCGTCTTAGTGATATCAGGGTCACGCTCGACCTTTAGAAGAAAGTTAGAGATGATGAAGCCGAGAAAGTGTGTGGACGTACCGCTGATAGTGACAGGCGGCGAACGACCTCGGCGAGAGTGGTGGCGAATTGTGCAGCGCCACTCAATCTCGTGAAACGGGCGCCAATACTTGCTATCGCAAGCACGAGAATCTCGGGGGTTCTATTGGGATTGAAGGTGGGACGGTGAATAAAGTTGACGGCCTTGGGGGAAAAAAAAAAGTCAATCGAACAGTAAAGACTCACGGTCATCGACATACCGGACGCCAATTGATGAAGAATAGGTCGACACAATGATCGAGTTTCTCCTTGGAGGGAAAGCATTCCATTGTGATGGATTTCCATAGTGGCCGTTCGAGGGACAATTTGATAAACTGCTGGACTTGTTTACGATCGGCCTCGGTCAGGCATTCGAGTTGACAGTGAGAGCCCAGGGATAGCTGGTCGACACGCTCTCCTCCCAGCCTAGGAATCGCCAGCGGACGTTCGGGCGGTGTTGCACCGTCCAATAGCCAGCTTTCCTTGTTGGCGTCGTTCTCTTGGTAAGTTGAGGCCGGCTGCTGGGCGTTCAGAGGCGTTTCCCCAAATTTCAGAGCAGGATCGAAGCACTCATGAGCGGGTCGATCTGCTGTCGCACGGTTGAAATTGATCTCATCGTCTTCGGTGATGTTTTGAAAGATCCAATCGAGGTCATGCTCCTCGCAGGAATTGAAGACATCGTCAGAAAAGACTCCGGGTACCCCGAGATTTCCAAAGGGATCTGCCGTGTGCTGGGGGGATGGGTCGGAGGGAAGCTGGTGCGTGTCAGATGCCCAATTCAACGATTGGGGGGTGAAGCCTGGTGGATTTGGCATGACTGGCGCGATGGAAGTCTCCCATAATTCCGCTGCTGAAGCAGATTGCATCGCACTTCTCGAGGGGGTCAATCGTGGTCTGGGTGTCGGACCTTTCCCGTCGCGGTCGGGGACCGAGCCTGCTGGATATGTGCAGCAGGCGGAACTGCGAAGACAGGCGGTGCATTTTGGTCGATCGCCGGAACACTTGATCTTGGATCTTGGACCCGTAAGTAGGATGGCGACCAATCTCAGATTCAGATTAGAGTACCGTTGACAACGTTCGCAGGACCACTTCCTCACACTTCGACCTGCCTCATGTACCTTCACATGACGGTTGTAGCTGTCCCTTGGGTGCTCGTTAGAAGGGCCAGATGATTCGATCGAGATCGGCGCATACTTGCGGGAGAAAGTCTTGGAGCAGACCGGGCACGAATGCATGATACCTCTCAGGATGCGGATGTTGAGTCAGATCTTTGTGGAAGAGGGATTGGTGATGAATTTTGAAGGCACGAAGCGGCCGATGGGGCCGATGGAAGACCGCTGATAGCCGGGACGAAGAGGTGGATGTTCCTTCCTAGGTACTCGGTACCTAGTACCTCTAATTTGTCAACTAAGCCGATCCAATCGCCTACCAGACCGAGGGCACTTAACAGACAATTGATCTAAAGACTCAGCGTCCTGCGAATCCCCGCCCGGAGCCCGCAGTCTACAAGTACAAGCCTCACTGGCCGCGCCACTAACCTAGATACAGGGGGGGATCATGTACGGGCTGACACCCCCCCCCCCCCCCCTGGTTCACTAGCGCGTCGCATTCCTGCCTACCTACCTACCTACCTACCTACCTACCTACCTATTCATCGATCAATCTATCTATTACGATGCCCGGCAAGCATAAGAATCGTAAATCGTACGCGGATCCAGAACGACCTCGAGGACAGCGCTTAACAGAGAGAGAACGCGTTCAAATTCTTACCTTATATAATATGGCGAAGTGGAATCTTTCACAAATTGCGCGAGAACTTCGAATTGCTCGTACGACTATTCAACTTTGTGTTCGCTCTGGTGTCTGTACGCCTCAAAGACCTATAGGACGTCCACCAATACTTACAACGAGAAAAAGACGACGTTTAATACAACGTACAACTCTTAATGCCTATCATCGACGTCTTTTATATGAGGAAATCGCTCAACTCGAAGATATTTAAGTCTGTCGACGCTCTTTATTAAAGGCATTCGAAAAAGAACGATATTTTCGTCGTACAGCGCAAGAAAAGCCTCTTCTTACACCTGAGCATATGACAGCGCGTTTACAATGGGCAAAAAATTATAAAAACTGGGATATTGAGATGTGGAAACGCGTTATATGGATAGATGCGGCTTCGTTTACAACAGGAGGCTTTGGAAACGTGTTGGACACAGCCTTGAAGGAGACCGGTCACGAGCCGCACGAGCACGACTCATCACACTCGTTGGGCACGTGGGGGGATCCATAGGAGAACAAGGCTGAGTCACGTGGTATGCCCTGTTGGCTCTGTAGGCCCTGCTGGCCCTGTTGGTGCAGGGCGCACAGAGCGCACAGAGCGCGCAGAGCATGGGCATTATATATACACCCTCATTACCCCCA